TCATGCATTATAGATTAGGTACTGCCCCCACCCAGTTACAGTCTATATTGGGGGTCCTATTCAGGGCTATATATAACCATATTATAATTCTTATCCAACTGTTACTGAGGGGGGGCAGTACCCAAATTATAGATAATACGCTCGTCTTTCAATAAATCATAAGTATACAAGTTCAGTTTCCATGTAGTTTTCCTTTTCATGTCTATTTGACTCTCCATGAATTATTCCTAAACCCTACATCTCACTGTAACCTATCTAGGGTCCAACATTCTTAGGCCGACGTGGTCTTCGCTTTGGGCGACAGCCTGTCGCTTCTTCTGAGCTGCCTTGGGCTTAGCTCGTTGCCGTTGGTGGTGGGCCTCCTGAGGCTGGAGTTTGTAGTTTGGGTAGGCCCCTGGGATATTTGATATTTTCCCTAATGGCTTTAATAGGGGACCATATATGGGTGGTTATCAAAATTATGGGGGCCGTATTATAATAGGGATCCAAAAAGGACCATAATTTTGACAACCAACCCATATACTAATATTTTTCAATGGGTTTTAGGGGCCAACCTAGGAGGCTGGAGTTTGTAGTCTGGAGGTTTCTAGCCATGGAGGTTCCCTGAATTTAGGGTTTATAAAGGGTTTAGGGTCCTCAACCATAGAATTTAGGTATACAAGTAGGTTTTAGTGGCTTAGAGGGCTCCTCTGTAGGATGATAGGGATCATGTTGATGGACTTCGTTTTGGGTCTTGGGGTTAGGGCTCAGAATTGGGCTCTTTAGGGATTAGGCCCTTGGGTTTAAAAGCTGAGGAGGGTTTGGGGCTTGGGCTGCTGGCATCCTTTTGGTTCAGGGTCTATGGTTTAGGGTTTAGGGTAGTTATTAGATGGTAGATACTTGAGCCTAAGCGTATTCATACGGAAACCCTGTGGGCCCATGGGCTTCCCCGAGCTTGTAGGACATTTCCCTGAGTATTGGCCAAGTTTTTACGCTCTTAAGTCTAGCGTACGCTGGTTTTGAGAAACTTGTTCCCAGCATTATTGGGAAGAGTCCATGAATTGAGGAAACCTGAAACCCTAAATCCTAAACCCTTCCAGTTGTGGACAGGCTCAGGGACAAGGATCCTGCATCTAGGGTCAGCATGCACTCGCCTGGGGTCACGGATTTCATATTCTGTTGAAGCACTCGTGTGGCAGGGTTTAGGTTTAGGGTTAGGGCTTGCCGTAGCGAACCGCATGGGACCTATGTGAGCTATAGTCTAAACTCCGTACAGGGGCATTACATAGGGGATTTTATACGGCTGTTTAAAGAGGATGCTATGAGTTTAGATCATAGCTCGTAAAATCCCTTCATAATCTCTGTATTATCCCTTTTATAATCCCTACATTAATATTTCCCTTCTAACCCCATTTGGAGCTGTTGCGGTTGTGTTTGAAATGGATTTGGAGGTTCAAGGTTTCTAGCTTGGAGTAGCTCCCAGACACCTCCTTTACGCAGTTGGGAGTGCGGCCGCCCCCCTAATCTTAGTAGTTCCTAGGAGGGAATAAAGGGAACATATTATATAGAGGTTGTATAGGTATACATTATGCTGGTTTTGGGGTTTAGGGTTCGTAGGGAATACGGTAATATCTTAATTAGGGGTTATATAAGGATTAGATTCCCTTCTTTCCTACTAAGAACCAGTAAGTAATAGTGACCACGGGATGATTAAATGGTCATTGGGGTAGGGTCTCTGTATAGTTTTCTCGAAAGCACTGGAGCCTGATTTTGGGGGGATGGCTAGATTGTAGGATGGCTACGCTCCCCTAATAAACCTTTAGCACAACAGATTGGGTTTAGGGTGTCTGCTCTGGGGTTTAGGGCTTAGGGTGTTTATGACGGACTGTGACTGGTGTGCTGTTGGCTTCTACACTGACTGCTAGAAACGCGCAACGGTTCCTCATACAAACTTGAGGGGGCAATGTGATGTTCTAGATACAGGTATCTGCATAGACATTGTTTTAAATGCATGTATATACACCTACTTGTTACGCGTGTGTGTGCGTGTGTATATATATATATAAAATCCCCTCCCCTAATATAAACCTCTCGACCGGCCCTAATATTAACTACTCCCCTGTGGTATAGTAAAATATATTGGGTGTATTTAATATTGGGTGGCGGTGGGGGGGGGGGGTTAATATTAAGGGAGGGGATTATGCATATTGGAATTTATGTGTTGAAGGCGCACCAAAAGGGCATGGGGACTTAGCAGGCAGATGGCAAACACGGCGCTGGTGCTGGAGTGGGTCGGTCCCACCAGCGGCGAGTCCCAGGACGGCATTCAGGGCGTAGGGTCCAGGATTTAGGGTCTAGGATGTAGGATTGAGGGTTTGGGGTTTCATATTTAGGATTTGATTAAGGTGTACGATGATGTGGGAAACCACAATTTGAGAGAAACCACATGGGTTGTTCTTAAAATCCTCGTTTGGTTACAGATTATATTACAGCACCTGTTATTTCGGGTACCAAATGGGAGCCCAGTTTTGGGAACTACCCACATTACCCTAAACCCTAAACAGTAGCTTCCATTTTCTTTTCCATTATCCGTAAATAACCCCTATATACCCCTAATTTTGGGAACTACCCACATAACCATGAGTTTCCACCTCAGGTTTAGGTCGAGGCCTTTGCCTGATGCAGCGATTTTGCAGGCCCTGAGATTTGATCTCCGAGGCTTTCTCCCACCCGCTAAGGGTTATAAGTACTAAGGAGTGTAGAAGGGGTATGTTGAAATTCTAGCTACGGGCCCGTTGAATTTCCTATCAACACTATATAAGCTTACACTATGGCTTTTGTTTTCTGCTAGTGGGTTGGGGGAGAGCCCACAGCTCTCCCTCACGTCATTTGTTAGAGGCTGCTTTCTTGCGGATACTTGGTCTGCATGACCTTCGTCAACAGGATACCATACCTTCTGGGCTTTGGGTAGTGTCAAAACCGAAATCATGATCAAGATGATGGTCCGGCACCTCAAGCCGACCTTAACATGATATTGGAAAAGGCTTGTTGGTGCCGAACCCTGCTATGCTCAATGGCTCACAGACCATGATATCCTGGCCGTGTGTTATGGAGTTTGAATGTTAACATGTCAAAGACGGAGCCATCTGAAGCTAAGAATAATTGACGGCCTCTGTGGGTGCTTCGTCCGTTGCGCTGCGCACCTTTCTGCATGTGTTAGAGCCGAGACGATAGAAGCAGGGACGTGCCGCGACAGTTTCTCAGTGCATAGCCCTGCGGCGCCAGCTTGTCGGCATGCTGCGTGTCCACGGAACATCAGGGGAAGAGCTGGCGGCCATTAGTTTGGATGAGATCAGTGATGTGATGGACGTAAAATATAAACTGCGCGGCATTCGCAGCTTGCCAGTATGTTGTCAGCAGCTTCTGCACAACGGCAGCAGCTTAGAGGATGGCACTAAACTGGAGGGCCCCATGGAAATGCAGCTGGTCCTATTGTCCATGTCTACTCCAAGGCTCCAATATGAGGCTTCAGTGGAACTTATCTTCTGTGCCTCAAACTTAGGTGACGCAAAGGTTGCCCATTTCCTGTTGGAAGCGGGCGCTGACAAGGACCTACAGGATGAGTATGGCGACACATCTTTGATTTGTGCGGCTGGAAATAGCCATGTGGAGGTGGCACGATTGCTGCTGGAAGCTGGTGCTGACAAAAACATGCAGAATTATTCCGGCGAAACAGCTCTGATGGCTGCAGTGAGCGTTAACGGAGAGGAGATTGTACAGTTGTTGCTGGCATCTCGTGCTCGGATGGATCTGCGTAACGACAACCGTGACACAGCTCTGATGCTTTCGACTGGATACGGCCACCTGGGGTTGGCGCAGTTGCTGCTGGATGCCGATGCGGATGTTGACTTGCTGAATTATTCTGGTGACACAGCCCTCATTTGCGCAGCACAAAGAGGCCAGATGGAGACTGTGCGCCTGCTGTTGAAGGCTGGTGCCGGGAAGGATTATAGGGGTGGATTTGGCAACACGGCTCTGATCTGTGCGGCTCCTAAAGGATTTGATGATGTGGTGCGTTTGCTGCTGGACGCTGGTGCTGACACAGACTGCCAGAATCATTCCGGCGACACCGCACTCATCCGCGCAGCCAGCATCAATGGAGTGGAAGTGGTACGCTTGCTGTTGGAAGCTGGTGCGCACAAGGACCTGCAGAATCGCCGCGGGGAGACAGCCCTCATTTGTGCGGCTGAAACTGGCAACGCGAAAATTGTGCGGCTGCTGCTAGAAGCCCGTGCAGACAAAGATTTGCAGAGCAACCATGGCGACGCAGCTCTAGTATATGCATCTGAGAGAGGTCACAAGGAGATTGTACGATTGCTGAGGCCTTCCAAACGCAGCTCTGACCCTCGCAGCTGACTGCGCTCAAGTGGAGCTGTACGCTGGCTGTTGGAAGCTGGTGCTCAGACTAAGATGGAAACAAGCCTGGCTTGAGAGTTGCCTTGATTTTCTCTGTGCGGTCACCTTACTAATTAGGAGTTAGTAGGGAATGTAGGGAATCTAGTTCATAGGGATTGTTCCCTTATTCCCTAATAGCCACCAGTAAGTTACTTTGGCATCAAGGTTTGAATAATCGGCCGGTATGTTGGTGTGGCGGATTTGTAAGGCTTGAGCGTGCCCCGGCAACTCTGGGTGACAGCATGTCGACACGGTTGTAGCAAGACTTGACATTAATTACTCGTATTACAACTGCTACACAGAAATTGCGTTGGGCTCTACAGTCTTAATCAGTGTAGGAGAGAGAATGTTTTTTTCTTCCTATGAAGGCCCAGAGAACCCCAAATCCCCGAACTCGAACCCTCAACTTGAACACTTGACACCCACACGCTGAACCCGAAATCTCCCACTAGAAGCTTCAACTTCAAACTTCAATCCTTAGAAAGCTGCAACTTCGAGTCTTCAGCTTGAATCCTTAAGCCCTAAACCTCCAATTTGAGCCTTGAACTTCAATCCCTGAGCTGCAAGCCTCCAAACTCACCTGGAGCCAGATCCTTGTACGACCAGGAGCCCTGGCCCGAAGCCTCGCAGTTTAAAAGGTTCAGGGCTCGATGATCAGAGGCGTCCCTTAAACACGACAGTCCTTCAGCTCTACCGCTGCACCATAGCCCGGCCCTAGCCACTTGAAGCCCTAGGTTAAGTGAGTATAGCCAAGAAGCAGATTCCTGCCATCACATTAAACAAATCAAAGGCCCCAGCTAAATTCCGACCCTATGGACTGCCCAATAACAACCCAAATCTCCAAGACCCAAAGCTCTCTGTAAAGTGCATGTGCCCCTTGGGCCCTGCAAGAATATGCTCCCGCTTATCGCGTATGCTCGGAGGTCTCCGTTAACTTCCCAAAAAGCATGTAAGGGCGAGTCCTTCTAACCTCGGCAGGCTAGAAGCCTTCCGTTTAACCTCTACACTCATAAACCTGGGTAGGCCCCTGGGATATTTAGTATTTGCCCTAATGGGTTTAATAGGGGACCATATATACTAATATTTTTCAATTGGTTTTCAGGGGGGCTATAAACCTAACAGGATTTGCGTGGCCCGTCCTATGGCGTGGACGGTGGCCGCAGCTACACGCGCGAGGAGCTGGTGGAGGCCTTGGAGGCCCTTGGCCTTGCAATTTGCAAAGACAACCTACATGCACGTGTACATTTATAGGGAAGTCAACAGTTAACAGCTGTAATATTAGGGACTGGGTTTATGGTTCCCTGAACTTGGCAGTCTGGCGGTTCTGAGAACGAGGAATGCTCATAAGGTAGAGAGCCCCTTCTCTTAGGAAATGCCCGTATATGTATACAAGGAAGAGGTTCTCAGAGTGAGGACTTCTTGAGGTTCCACACCTACGAGGGATTGTTTGAAAAGTGCATGGGAAATGTTCGTGCAAAGTTTGGGGCGGCCATGAGGCAGGGGGAGGTCGCAAGATTTTGGCTCAGGAATGTTATATCGGGGTCATGCTTATGGCACCATCATGGAGTTGTTTCGGGGCTGTATTATAAGAAGAACCATCTTTTTGACGCAGCATTCAGCATTTGGAAATGCTGTTCACCGTTCCTTGAAGTAACATGCAGTTTCATACACTCCTACGTCAAATCGCGTTAGTCCGTAACTGGCCTTCATCCGTTTTGGTTCGGGGAAGGAGCACCATGTACCCGAAACGCTTATCCAAAGCGCCCAAGTCCCCAAATGAAATGCACTTTGGCGTCCAGATGGGTTCTTGCATAGATGGGGGTTTCTCAAGACTATCCCTGCTCAATCCCTATCGTATCGGGGTGCCTGTAATCTCCTCAACCCCCTTAGTCCTTAAGGTCCACTAGGGTAGCCCTTTTTGGAGACCCCCAGCAATTTGTGAGTCTAGGTGTCTAGCATTTAAGTGCTAATTATTGCTATCATGCTACGACTATTAATCTTACTACCTTAAACCCTAAACCCTTAGGATAAGGGATTCTGAGGTCCACTTCCAGCATGTGGCCCCGCTGTTCCTGGGCTGCCAGTGGGACTTCGTGCTTGGGGTAAGAGCTTAAGGCATCCCAGTTCTTGGTGGTTAGGGTTTAGGGTTTGGGGTTTAGGGCTTAGGGTTTGGGTTTATGGCTTATGGCACAGGATTTCTTCCATCAAGAATACCATATGCATGCTGACATCTAGGCACTACCCAGACCTTCCCTTGTAGTTTCCTGTTTGGTAGTTCATCAAAATACCCTGGCCACGCCCAAACAGGTACTACATAGGAGGCCTCGGTAGAATATCAGCCGAAAGGTCGGCCCGAATTCGCTGTGGATCCTTAGGTTCTCTTTGCTCATTCCTCTGGATTGGGTTTAGGTTCAGGTGTACTTGGCAAGTATGTTTATAACCCTTATGAACCATATAGTGGCCCCAGTTTCGCACACTATGAACCTACTTGCTTAAGTCCCCCTGACCCTCCAAGTAAGTGGTACAAGATATCCTCTTTCCACCCTAGGTCTCCTGGACATGCTGATCCGTGCAGCTCTTGCAACATCTTTGGCCGTACATATTACCTACATTGGGCTATTTGGATCCTTGGGTCAAGAGTCATACACCCTAAGATGCAAATCGGGAACTCTCAACCTGAATCCCAAGACCTGCAGCAGTCTCGGATTTCCTCTCGTCATGCATGCATGAATTTTGAAACCTCAAGCCTAAACGCCAGCATTATGCAAAAGCCTGAGCATTTCGTTGTATCCCTTCACTTATGTAGGCTTGGGTGTTTACGACGCTGCAAAACTATTTTCCAATGTTCGGCCGTAGCCCCTTGGAAATCAGAGCAAACGCTATCCCAATATAAGAAACTAACCCTATGCCTTAAACCGTAAACGGCAAACCTTGAACACGCAACCTAGATCCCAAGAGTGTAGATCCCAAACTCTAAACCCCAAACCGTAAACCCGCAACCCAGGTTCAAGGGCAACTACTACCTCTGCCTGGGGCCACGGTGGAGTGACTGGCAGGCACCATGCTTCCCGCAAGCGCAATGTGTGAGGACGTGTGCAAAAACTGGGGACCCTTTCAAGGAGTCGTTCTGCGCGGGCATATGAAGGGCATTTTACGGGGTCATCTAGGGCTTGGGGATCAGGGCTTAGGGCTTCAAAGATTAGGGTCGGCCTAATACGGCTATAATGCTTTTGTGCTCATGAAGGGGACGCCTAGTTTTAACTCCCACAGCTCAGGTTAAGTGGTATCATGAAAGCCGTTTTAATGACAAGGGATAAACAATAACAAACTATGCACCCTGAACCCTGAACTCTAAACCCTTATAGGGAATAAGGGAACATAGTCTATATGGGTTCTATAGGGATAATATTCCCTCCTTATTCCCTACTAACCACCAGTAAGTTTATCTCAAAAAGCTCAACTCTCCTGCTCGCATCCTGGGCGGAATGTAAGCAGCTTTGTCCTACATCTTAAGCTTAAGCCCTATATAAACCCTAAACCCTAAAAATCAAGGTTGCTGTTTGCTTGTTGTGGCACAAGCAGAAAAAAGGCAAAGCATGACTCCCTAAACCCTGGTTTCAGCTTCAGTCCCCATCAATCTCCAGGCCATAGAACTGGGTTTAGGGTTTAGGGTTTAGGGTTAGTGCTAAATCTTATACGCCCTCAGCCCTAAGCAAGGCGTCGCGTTTCATGACAGCAAAGACCATGGTACAGGGGTACTGCGTGCTGTCATCCACATTGTTGATGTTAGGTTTTCGCTCGTCTCGGCGCTTCTCAAGGTACTGGGGTCTTGACATCATATGCTGAGGACATGAAGGGTTTACAGAGTATTCCTGTGTCCACAAATTCCCTAAAGTGCGGGTCTCGCCCTCGATCGTAGTTTTGACAAAATGCGTGAAGCAGGGAGGGCTCCGCGTGTTGTCCAAACGCGTGCAAGCACTAACCCTGAACCTGATCTGGAAACAACTTACTGGTGGTTAGCAGGGAATAAGGGAGTATATAATCTATTTCCTTAAACCCTAAACCCCCACTCCTTATTAACCACCAGTAAGACAAAGTGAAGCTGAAGCCCTAGAGCCGCATCGTAGCTCTTGAAGGCTGTAACCCACACCCTAGCTGGTAAGCCCACCGCCCAAAAAGGGATTCGCAGACCCTAAACCCTCAACCTAAACCCTCAACCTAAACTCCTAAACTCCTAAACCCTGGACCCTAAAAAGACCCAATCCATTTTCCCTGGAGGCTGTTCAGATCTCAGATCTCTCTGTACCACAGTTCCAGCTGCAAAATACGCGGACGGGCAAGGACTTCCAGTTGCTGGTGCCTTTGGGGTTCTAGGGTTCTAGGGTTTGGGTTCAGGGTTTAGGGCATTATTACGAATCGTTGTACAACATGAAACTCAAGAAGAACAGTAATGAACAAGTTTTTGTTATAGTAACAGCACTATAGGGGCCTCCAAAAGACAATCTTTATTTGTTGGTTATTACAATCTTACGAACAGCCAAAGATTATAATTTTTAGTGAGGTTCTGAGACCGGTTTAGAACAATGGTTGTAGTGATTCGTTGGATACTAAAGATCCTGCATGACCTTAAGTACCTCAAACCTGGGGAAATATGGTGCTATGGTATACCAAGGTCATGCAGGATTTTTAGTATCAACAGCACATATCCCTAAACCCCAAACCCTATATCCAGTACACCCTCAAATCCCAAGTATCTTCAGGTTCCTGGAGTACTTCCTGAGCACTGACTGGAGTTTTAGTGTTTAGCAACTCCCAATTTGTATTCGTGTACATGGCGAGGCTCCTTTATGGGTTTCATCTAATCACCCCCCGAAACATAAACGGGTGTTTCCCAAAATTGGGGGGGACCTTTTTTGGGGCGTCCCCAAAATGAGGATTATGATACTTTGGAGAACTACTCT